TAGCATATTTTCTTTGTATGTTAATGAGCCATATAGGTTACCTCTGAGTCATTATAAATTAGGCTTCTATAAATACAAATATGCAGAGGTCACTGTAATCTCATGACTTTAACTCTTTCTGAAAGATTCTTAGAAGTGGAATAATTGAGTCTAATAGAATTGCTGGTTTTAATTTTTTAAAGAATCTTCATACTGGTCTCCATAGTTGTTATAGTAGTTTGCATTCCCAGCAACAATGTAGAAAGGTTCTGTTATGGCTTGTATCTATGTGTCCCCGCAAAGCCTCATGTGGTCATAGGTGAGGAGCTTTGAAAGGGGCTGGTTGACGTTGTGCGAATGTGGATTAAACGTGTGATACTGGGATTAAGGGTGTGGATAATGGAAGCCCCGCCTTGCACTAGGTGGCACTAGAATAGACTCGTAGCATGGATGGAATACTGTATAGGATAGAAAGCAGGAAGGCTTGCTGTTGGGGCTGCTGCTGCTACTGTTTGTAGCCTGCTGCCTGCCTGAACTGTTTCTCTTCTGTGGTACCCCTCTGTGATGTGCCCTTTCTTGGGGCCAGCTGACTATGAACTATGAGCTGAAATAAACCTTTCAACCTTGAACTTGTGAGTGTTGGGTATTGTATCCTAGTGATGGGAAAGGTAGCTGAGACAACACTCTCCCTCCCCCAGGCCTCACCAACATTTGTTTGATCTCTGATGGCAGCCATTTTTTCTGGAGTAAGATAAAGTATCAGTATTGTTTTAATTTGCATTGCTGTAGTGACCCAAGATGTTGAACATATTTTCATCTATTTATTGGCCATTTGTATTTCTTTTCTGTGAAGTGTCTATTATTTCAGTTGTCCATTTTTTGATTGGGTCTTTTATTTTTGGGATCTAATTTTTTAAAGTTTTTTTATGTATTGTAGTTGTTAGCTCTCTGAGGAATAGCTGGCAATATTTCTTTTTTTTTGGTATTTTTTAAAAATTATTTTGAAGGTAGTAAAATACAACAGAACAAGAGAGAACAAAGCCAATTGAGACAGTGTAATGAAATTGATACAGAACTTCACAACAGGTTACCAGGATAACAGCAATAGATATCACAGTATATCTCATTATCATCACAATACTTGTTCTTTCAATCATGTATAGCAAAATAAAATGAAGTACAGAACATTATAGAACTTATCAAAACAATATTGAATAGAACAGTATCATTAATCATAATAAAGCAAAACAGTAGTAAAAATATTTGCCTTCAAAAAGATGGTAGAGGGAAATCCCCCTTATTTGCTGTATTGCATATGGTCAACCTCCCAAAAGATGCTCAGATCTCTGGTTCCCATTTGCTAAAGGGGGGCAGGGGAAGTGGGATATTTGACTCTAAGTCCGTGCACTGGTAGGCTCACTATTGCTTAACAGGGAGGCAGGCTGATTGCTTGGTTTCCTAGTGCCTTAAGTTCCAACATGGCGTGGATCTCAGGAGACACTGGTGGTTCTCCCCTTGGGGTTGCCGCAGGCTGCCGCATCACAGCTGCTTACCAAGAAGGCGAGCTGCTTGCTTGGTTTCCCAGTGTCCTACGTTCCAACATGGCACGGATCTCAGGAGACACTGGTGGTTCTTCCCCTGGAGGAGCTGCAGCCTGCCACACCACAGCCGCTTACCAGGGAGGCGAACTGCTTCATTTTTTCTCCATTCTGTAGGTTGTTTCTTCACTCTGTTGATTGTTTCCTTTGATGTGCTAAAGCTGTTTAACTTGATAGAATTGTTGATTCTTGGAAATATTTCCTATGTCATTCACCTGTTGGTGGACCAGCAGGCTGTTTCCAAGGTTTAGCTACTATGATTTGTGCTGTTACAAGCGTTGGTATGTATGTGTCACTGTGGTGTGATGTCTTTAACTCTTTTGGGAGCATACCTAGAAGAGTAACAGGTGGATCAAATGGAATTTCTATTTTAGTTTTTAAAGGAATCTCCATACTGATCTCCATAGTGTTTGTACTAGTTTACACTCCCACCAGTGATGAAGAAGGGTTCCTTTTCTCCATAGTCTCTCCAGCATTTGTTGTTGCTTGATTTCTTGATGATAGCCATTCTTCCAGGAATGAAATGGAATTTCAGGGTTTTAATTTACATTGCTCAAATGGCCAGAGATGTTAAAAATTTTATGTATTTATTGCCATTTATTCTTCATCTGAGAAGTGCCTGTTCATTTCAGATACCTATTTTTTATTGGGTCTATAAGTTTGGGGAGTCTAATTTTAAGTACTTTATATATATTTTAGATATTAATCCTCTGTCAATTATATTACTTTTTATATAACGAAGTTACACAGAGAATGAATACACAGTATAAAACTCCATTTGCTTCTCTGCCCTTCCCCAACCCTCTGCTTCGAAGCTCGTTTTCTTTACCAAGTGTCTCCAGGAATATTGTAACCATTTTGCCTGATGTTAACCAAAATAGTGTGAAAGGGAAGTGACACGGGCAACATATTATTTATTGAGCACCTAAAATGTTTCAAATATTAAACTCACATAATCCTTCCACACATGTGAGTAATATCTTTCCTATTTCACAGACAAGCAGTCCAAGCCTCAGGAGAGTTAAGTGACTTTCCCAAGGTATAAAGAGTAGACTTGTGGTGTAGTCTGCTCAGGAGTGAGTCTCACAGGAAACCCACTTTTACCACTTGATTTGCATTTTGTGTTTGTATTGAATGGCATTGCAAATGTTTTGCTTCAGTTTGGCACAAGCAGAGTTAGTTCCCTGAACTCTTCTATGAAACACACCTTTCTCTACTAAGCCACACATTAGAAATAAACATGCTCAGATAAATAATGCTATAGGAGAGCCACAAACGTCACAATTCTATTCTGTGAATGCTCCCAGAGCTTTGTTTCTAGCTTCATTGAGTTTGGAGTCCCTTCTGATCAGGGTCAAAATTTTCCAGGAAACAGTAAAATCCTAGGGAGGAACAGGCCACTTCACAGCCACATGTGTACTCTGCCCTGCTGCACCCCTAGTTACCCTTGGCTGTACCCTGAACAGGGCTCAGCCATCAATAAGGACATATGAAATCCATCTATGGAGGAGAATCAGTGTTTTACAGTGAATCACCTGTCATTCTTCCAGAAACTTTTGCCCCTCATAGATATTCATCAAGTCTTTCTCTGTAACCTCACTGAGCTCTAAAAGATTCTCTAAAAGGAGGAGATCATGTAACAGAAAGAACTGTTTCATAGTGCAAACACAAGAAATCTAGCAGAAGGAAAAAGCCATTGCTCTCTAAAAAGTGTATTCTGTTCACAGTGAGATATCATCTCACATTTCCCAGGCTCTTCAGTTAGGTAAATATTCTTGGTTATGCGATCAGGAGATAAAAAGAATAACAAAGAAAAGAGAGAGTGTGGAAAAGAGTCATTTGGTCTAAGTAGAATTTTTTTCTTTCTGATTTATTTTGTTTTGTTTTGTTTTTTGAAGGGAGAGAGGCCAGTATCATAAAGTAACTTTTACAAACATATAATTATTACTTTGGCATGGTGACCTGAAATGGAAAGAAAAGACAGAATCATAATATCATAATAGGTTATTGAGTAATCTTAAAATTTTTATTCTGCCTTTATGAGATTTTGGGGGAAAGTAAGTAATTCATACTTGCAAAGGTTTGAACAGTTATAATTATTAAAAAAGCTCATACAAGCCGGGTGTGGTGGTGCATGCTTGTAATCTCAGCACTCAAGAGGCCAAGGCAAGAGGATTATTGCAAGTTCAAGACCAGCCTGTGCTACAAAGTGAGCTCAAGGCTAACCCGAACTGCATAGTGAGACCCTGTCTCAAAAAGACAGGAAGAAAAGGAAGAAGAAGAAGAAGAAGAAGAAGAAGAAGAAGAAGAAGAAGAAGAAGAAGAAGAAGAAGAAGCTCATATAGTGACATAAGTTGAGGCATATCCTTGGTAACAATCTATTTCATGTTTCCTGGCATTTATAAATAAACTTGATATACATACATATATTTTTTGATTTCTCAGAAAATTAAAAATAATAAAATGTAGCAAAGCTGCAAATGTGAAGTTTTCCTTATATTAAATATTGAAAAATCTTGGTTGTTGTGAACTCTGGTATGATTTCCTAGTAACTATTCCCAGAATTCTGTTGTCATTATGTTGTTGGATTTTTTCTATCTTAGATACAGTACAAGCTTTTTAAAGGATTTTCCTTGGTATTAAGTGACATTAAATCCTCCAATTTCCACAGGTCCAATTTCCGGTTCATTTCATCCTTCTCTTCATCTGTTTAGCTTTATAAGCTCCTGTTCTACTTCTCTTTCCTAGCCTTATCATCTCTCAATACTCAGAATTCAGAACAAAGAACTAGCCCACTGTTATGTTAGGTATATGTACCATTATGATTTGGTCTACTACAGAAGTGAATTGCTTATTTTAACAACATGTTTCAGTTAAGTAGAGTATGTATACAGATTTTTATCTTAAAGAAGAAACAAAAACAATGGTACAAAATTTCATAAGATTGTTGGAGAGACACAATGGTTAGTACATTGTGTATTATTATCTTTAAAGTAGTTGCTCCTATTACAAGATATAGGCACGAAAAATTGATCAAGCAATAAAGGCATTATCTTTTGTATGTAGTTTTTGACTTGCTAACGTTTTAAGGAGATTTTAGCGCTTTTTCTTTGCATTACATTTGGGTTCAGGGACCCTAAAGATGAAAAGCATTATGCTTGCAAGAGAAAAATGGGCTTTTTGTAAAATGAGAAATACTCATTTCCCAGATTTTAATGGAGTGCCTTCTCAGACCTCCACAGTTACAAAAATACTTGCGCCGCACTCCCGAACAGACTTTGTTACCCTCCTCCCACCAAATTGATTGAAAGAGATTCCACAGGCCGGGTTTAGAGCATCTCTGCATCCATAGCAACCAGACTAGACTTCAGCTTCTTGTCACTGAGGCGCCCGCTAGGCCGGTGGTCGCCATGGTAACCAAGAGGCGGGTCGCTGCGCATGCGCGGGGCAGGGGAGCCCGCAGCGCGCCGGTGGCCCCTCAGGTTCGCTCGACATGGCGCTGAGGAGGCGGCCGCTACTCCGGCTCCGCGCGGGACTGCGCGACCTCTGCTTGTTGCTGCTTCTCAGGGGTGAGTGGGCACCTTCGCCACTAGGGGAGCAGGCTGGAGAGCAGCCGGGCGCGCCCCAGCGGCCGGAGCCGGTCGGGAGGTCGGCGGCGTCCGCGCGGGACCCCGCAAGGAGCGTCCCGGGCCGAGGGTCCAGGCTCGTCGCCGGCGGCGGCTGGCTGTTCCCGACGGCCAGGCTGCTCCGGAGCGGTGCGGCACTCGCGGAGCCAGAGCGTTGTGAGCTCGAGACCGCCCGCGCCGCCCCGGGCCGGGTCCGCCGCGCCTCCCGCCGAGGCCGGCTAGGCGGCGCCGGGCCCCGCGGAGGGCCCGCTTTGTCTGCTGACCGCCGGGAGACCCGCGCTCCGGCCAGGGCCCCCCTCCCCGGTCCCAGCGGGCTGGCGCTCGCGAAGCGGCGCTGCCCTGGGCCCGGGCCGGACACCGGGCTTCCCTGCGGGGAGCGCACTCCTGTGTGCAGCCCCTCACCTCGGCAGTGATGCCGAGGGCTCAGCCGGCCTCACGACAGGTGTGTTTTAGTGTTGGTGGTCCTGGGCACTGAGGGCAGGGCCCTGGTTCTGGGCAGCGTCCTCAGCCTTTGGAAAGTTTAAAGTTTGAAATGGGTGTTGCTTAGCGGCTGAGTTGCCTGCGCGGGGCTCAGGTTGCAGCCCTCCTGCCTCAAACTCCCGGAGTGGAGCGCAGGGGCTGCGGGCGCTGCCATCCCTCTGGCGCGAGATGGGTTTCGTGTATCTGTTCCAGAGTCTGAGCATGTTCTTCGGCGCAGCCTTTGGAGTAAGCACTATAGTTTCAAACTTAACGTTTATGTAAAGCACTCTCACACTGTTTGCCTGGTAGCTACCCACAGGTAGCCAGGACCTTTTGTGGTCTTGAAGTCGTTCATTGCTTGGTTTTGTTGACACCATTATCCCTTGATGTTTTTCAAAAAATACAGATTAAAATACCAAAGGGCTCCCTGGGAGTGGGGGTGGGCGGATTTAGGAAGACAAAGCGTTCTTGTGTTTGGTGTTCATTCTAGGGGGACATGAGGGATTCTGGTAGGAAAAGTGGGGGCCTGGCCCTGAAGCTCTGGAAACGGCTTCGTGAGAAGGCTGTCTCAGCGTGTAGTTGGTGACCATGTGCTTAGCCTAAAAGTTATTTCCAAAACTGTGTTTCCCATGTACGCTATGAGGAGGTGTGATCGAAGGCTAACTAGGGGACAAGGGTGTCAGGAATGTCCAGCTCCCACTGTGCTGGTCACACGGACACTGCCTTATTGACAGACGGAAACAACTCGCTATTGTTGAAAAGATTTGCTCACATGAAAGTTTGCAGTTTTTATTACAGAAACATTTGGCAGTTTACTACAGGAATGAGTTTCAACTTGATGGTTTATTAATAAAAGTAGAAATGCTAAACACCCTTAACCTGATTTTGCCCTTCTGAGAGGCTAATTTTGTGACTGACTTGCCATTAAGGGCTGGAATTTCCCAGCACATGTTGGGAGGAAGAATCACATTTTGCAAAATGTAACTTTTTTTTTCTTCGGTAATAGTTCTTTTCCTATTATTTGGTTTATATACTACACAGACTTTAAAACATTTTCACAGGTCATGAAGACTGTTTTTATTTTTAGGATTATTTTTAAAATTGCTGCCCATTATTTTTATAATATTATTTAAAAATGTTCATGACATAATAGATATTTCTTTGGTAGTTGCCCTTTACTAGTCTCCATTATAAGGATTGAATGTTAATTGATTTAATCGATAGTTCTTAGCATTGTTAGCTATTTTGCCCATTTGTTGATGCAGAAACAAATATGGAGAGTGCCCAGAGTATATCCAGTGTATCTTAAATTTAGAAGTCTCCACTTTATGTTCATCCCACTTTTGGTTACTTGTACTGCATTAACAGTGGAATTCTTGTTATAGATTAATTTAACCAAAATTGTCAAGTGTTCAAAGCTATGTCATTCGTATATAAAATATTCCTTTGTTAAATTGATGACAGGTGCAGCTCAGCTTTACAAATGTTATGCCACATGTCTTTTTTGAATGATCATACAGTAATTACTGTTAGGTTTCCAAATCTTTTGATGTCCTAGAGAGAGATGCTGCACTTAGAATTAAAACATTAACAGTTAGCATTCTTGGGATAAGATTTGTGTGATAAAGCACAACAAATTTAAACATAAAATTTCTTGGAAGAATTTGAGAAAATACTCGAATTTTTCTATTTGCATGTGTTTGGACTCCTGAAATGTTTTCTTTCCTGCTGTCTGTCTTTTTTTTTTTTTTTTTTTAGAATGACCTATTCTTATATGTCTATTGTAATTCCATTTGCTTACCTGACAGACTTTAATTACCATCGTCTGTGTGTGAGCATGCGTACATGCGTGTGTGTGTGTGTGTGTGTGTGTGTGTGTGTGTGTGTGTTTTAAGAAAAAGAACATCTGCCTTGGAAGCAAGTGCAGTGCTTCACCTCAGCTGCTTATTCCTGAATGATTTACTGATGGGCTTTTGTTCTTGAGTGCAGTAGGCTAGGGAGACTGACTGGGTGGCTCCTGGAGACATTTAATTATAAGTAATTGTGGTATTAATCCAGATAGAATTACCAGCTACTCAACCTCTGAGCTCTGCAGAACTTCCTCTTAAGGCAGTCAGCACTGTAGGATAGGTTTACCTTTGATTCTTTTGAGGGAAACCAGACTTCGATCAAGTGTGCTTTCCGAGATGGCAACATGGTGTAACAGAAGAAGCTATGGGGTTAGTACCAGTAGCAGCTGTTAGAGACATGATATTAGCAAATTCCTTCTCTGCAAATTCTTTGAATTTTTTTGAAGCACAAGCTGGATAAAGTTGGAATGTGTAGAAATGATCAAGATGTGACATGTATGTAGGAAGCCTCTAGAGCTGAATGTAATTTCTATGTATGGCAAGCATATACTACTAAAAAACAACAATAAAGATTAAGATATAGAGACTGCTGAAGAACATCCTAGGCAGGAAGTCGGATTTTCTTTTAAGATGTGATGTAAATGTGAAGCTGTTAGAGCAGAATGCACACATTAAGCTTTTGTATGCAAATCGCAAAATTTCAGCTGTGTAAGCAAATGCCTCTTCTGGAGTGTAAAGACATCCTGGGAAGCACCTTCTTTTACACTAAGCTTAGCACAGGCAGCATCTGCTGTGGCACTCTGTGGGGCATTAAAACTTTACTTTACACCCTCTTTGGTGCTTTCACGGTGCATGGAAAGCATCTGAGAATTAGCCCTTGTTCTGATGTCCCAGGGGTGCTGTAGTTCTTGTGTAGTTGTGTTTTCTTTGTCTTAAAGTGTCATCTATCGTGTGTGGTATGTTACATTTTCCAGGAGTAATTAAAATCTGCAGCAGAGAACCAGTGTTCTTTGTCTAGAAAAATAAGGCTATTTAATAAAATTAGGACTACGGAAATGTTTTTCTTTATATCAGTCATTTATAGAGTATTTCAAGGTTTCTATGGTTCAGTCTTTTTCCTGCAAAAATTCTGCTGTATCCATCCTGTATGCTGTCTGATAACTTCAGTTTACAATGGTCTTTTTTTTTTTCTCTCTCTCTTTTCTCAGACAATTTTTCTGTATAGTTCAGGATGGTTTTAAACTCACTGTGTAGCCTAGGCTGGCCTTGTACTTGTAGTAATCCTCCTGTCTCAGCCTTCCGAGTTCTGAGAATAGATGACTGCTACCACATCTGGTCTGATCTTTAATCATATATCTTAGTTTTAGTTCAGTTCTGCATATCAGGCAGTTAAAAAAGTGTCTTTGATATGTCAAAAACTGTTTTACGTGCTAGGGGTACAAAATAAATAAAGCATCTCAGTGTCTTAGAGTCAGAGTGATTGCATGCTGAGTTTCAGTAGGCTTTAGTTGTTGGAATTGAGTGTGTTTTGTATCTTCTCAGTGATATCAATTAAAAATTTCTTGGAAACAGAGACTGAATTTAATTTCTTATGTATCTTTCCAGAGATGATGTACTAAATATTTTTGTCTTTTTTTGTTGCTTGAAAGTCAGGTAACAGTTCTTAAACACTCTCTGTGTGTCTAGACATTTTTTATTTATTCTAGTTCTAGTGACCAGAGGAACTTTTGGAAACTCTCAAGGTTTTATAATATAGTAGTAGTTGTAGAAGAAAGAGTTGTGTTTCTTCACTAGGTTTAATTTCACAGTCTTTCTGCTGCCTCCTCTCTAGCAACAAGGCTTATGAAAGACATGAAGAGCCAGTTAGGACATATTTTAAGTGACACAACTGCAAGTAACTACTAGTATGTACTGTGTTCTTACACTCATGTAAGACATGAGGATTAGTGTGGCAGAACGTATGCCTGTGTCGATAGGTTCTGTTTCTGAGTGGAACATTTTATGGCTGTTTCTGACTGTTTTGTTTTTGTATTGGATTCTTTTATCCTTTTGTTTTTCAAATTTTCTTTAATGAGAATGTTTATTGTATAATGAAAGAGTGCAATTTGTTTTGGTTTCTAGTGGATACAATAGTGGAATTTTGAATTTGGCACCAGTAGTGGAATATTTAATTTGTTTATTTAATGTGATAGCATGGGGATGGATTATCTTTTCTCTGGCTTCTTAGTGAATGTCAGCCACAGTGGATGAAGGGCTGACTTGAAGTTCAGTTGCTTGATTGTGCATTTTTTGTGACTCTTTAGAGATTAGTTGTCACTGGCTTTGGATGTCAGAGCCAGCTGTAGCTTCCCCAACAAATGGTTCGCTGGATTGAAAGAGAGTTTTGAGAGTGCCCACCTCCTCTCAGTGATTTGAGGAATTGCCTTGGATTGCTTCTTTATAGTGATCACATTTACGGAACCTCTACTCTGTGCCAGCTAGACTACTCTAGGAGGATATCTATTCTTTTTCCTCTGAATGATGAGAATAGGAGGTCAAATTGACAGGCAAAGTAGACTCTGAAAGATGTTCCTTGAAGGCAGCCATCAGCTGATGCACCACCACTTCTTGTTGAGTGTCTTTCTCCAAGGAAAG